TCATATAAGTGATCTTAGATATTGAGCAGGAGAAGGTGAGATTACCACAGGGGAAAAAATGAAAAGAAAAGTCTTGTGTAAATTTCATGATGAAATGAAATCCATTTATCAAGTTATAATGAACCAATGAAACCAAGTAAGAGTGTCATCCCCCAGTTTTCTCAGAATTTTTAGTATGAATTGCCTAGAATAAAGACTGATCCACAAAAGACAAAGCACCAGGGGGCGCTTTTCTTTGGGGGATGATATTATCTCAGCAGCTACGAAATGTCAGCTTAGAAACTGCTCCACAACCAGTTGAAGTGATATGTAGGCACCCTTGAGTGATGGCCAGCACAAGCTTATGGCCTTCCTCGGTCCAATGAAGAAAAGGCAGCAATGAAGCCACATAAGATGGCCCACTCATTCTTGTACCTGTGTTCATTCAGCCTCCGGGGCAGAACAGCCAGACAGCTCTCGCCAACATTCCCTGGGATCTCAAGAACCATGAGCACACTGGAGAATTAGGGTGTAGTCTGTACTCTGAGACAAATGATGTTTTTCTATGTGCCAGTTGCCAGAACATCTAAATGACTGAAAGTAAAATCCAAAGATTTTAGTTTATTCTAATTTTTTCCTATATGTATCGGCTTCATGCAGATAACTCCTGGGTATAAGAGGATATAGAGGTCAGAACTTAAAAGTAATCATTAAGCGATAACACTACTTAGTATTTACTCTTATTTATTAACTCAATTTAATCCAATATTTCATTCCAATGCTAATTTTAAAATATGCTTTGTAATAAATATTTGCTTCAACATCTGGAATGATAAAACAAACCCAAATTTTATTTGGGACACCACCAACCAAGTAACTGCAAAGTGAGAATTTAAATAGAGACATGAGATAAGACCAAATACAGCTTTCACAATCCAGCTGTGCATGTATTTATATGCAATGTCTTATATATTTATTTATGCAGTTTATGTAATGAACACAGCAAGTGCATCAGAGATGGATAAAGTAAATGTTGGGGTGAAAATGAAAGTATAGATACTTACATAGCCTTAAATCAGTCACAACAGTCTGGTCATTTGTTTTTGTTTTTTTCCTGCTGTGGACATTAACTCTTGTGAATTTAGGTCATATCTCAAAACTGTTCACAGTGTGGTGACTTCAGGGGGGAAGTTGGATGAGGGATAAATGGTAATGGAAAAATAAATAAACAAACTAGTCCTTCCCCCAACGATCATAAGTACCGAAATATGCTGTCACAAGAAATTCTGACTTGAGACAAAAACCTGTGAAAGATCTAACATTTAGAAAAACATAAACGTCGTACATGCAAAACTTACAGGATTCACAGAATCCTCCTCTGCTTCAAAGGCCCAATCTAAAGCAACTTCCTGAGTTTACAGATGAGGAAACTGAAGCCCAGGATGAATGAAATACCTGAAGCTCCAAAGCTAGTTCATGGAGAAGTCAGAACTAGAATTTCCGAGTCTAGGGTCAGAGGTTCTCTTTGACTCAAATCAACCTCCCAGTTTCCTATTTAGAACACAAGGCTATTCATTTGTTAGAGCGTAATCTCATCGAGAGCAAAATCAAGTCTAATCTACACCATATGCCCCAACAGCTAACTCAGAATTTGCTAACTAACAGGTGGAGAGATGTCGCTGACCACAGCCAGTTGGAATGGACACACTATAATAGCTATGGTTTGCAGGGAGCCACCCACATAGCCTCTCACCAAAGGCCCCTACAAAATAAGGACACTTGTTTGCAAAATGCCTGGTGAGAGTTGAGAGGATAATATATAAAATTATCATTTTCCTCTGTGCAAAAATGACCCAATTTTCCCAGGAATCTCAGCTCCACTGGCCTCTTCTTCAACTAACTGAGTAAAGCAGTTCCCAAAACCAAGAATGTCTTCGCTCCCTCTGGGGAGGGACATGCCAGGGACACAGACAACTGTTTCCTTCATCTTTGCTCTGAGTTCCAGCTTAAAGTGAGGCAAATAGGAAAATATTTTCATTAGTGTTCAATGTACTTGAAAAGAAAAGAAACTAAGTTTATCTCATATTTTTAAGAAATGATCTGGAAACTCCCATAAAGTATCATATACAGAGTCAAACAGGTGATATCAGCAATTAGATCAGAAAAATGATAAGAATAATAGCTATGTTTATTGCTGGTGCAATGCACCCAAACGCCACTGCTGACACTATTGCAGTACATTGTCACAGCAGACCTACAAGGTGGGCACATTAAAATCCTCCTTTTGTAAACAAGGGGGCTGGCCCAGAGGGACAGCAGGGAAGGTGGCGGTGACGAGGTGATCTGCACACAGGAGTGTCACAGCAAAGCCCACACGCTCATATCCCGTACTTATTTATTTATTTTTTTAAATCCTCAGCGGGGGATATTTTTCTATTTATCTTCAGACAGAGTGGGAGGGGGAGAAAAAGGGAGAGAGAGAGAAACATCAACATAAGAGGGACACGTTGACTGGTTGCCTCCCACATGACCCGGACCAGGGCCGAGGACGAACCTTGCCCTTGGCCGGAATTGAACCCACGACTCATTGGTCCACAGGCCGACGCTCTACCGCTGAGCCAAACTGGCCAGGGCCCCGTATTTGTTTAAAAAATACATTTTTTTCCCAAGTTTAGTAATTTTATTAAGTCATTCTTGGCTTCAAGATTCATACTTTAGGTGCTGATTTTTCAAAGCTCCCTTGAAAAGTTAAACTTAGTAAGTTTATTCAGAAAATACTTTAAGAGCTCCTTCTGAGATCCAGCCAGTCTGCTCAAACCGATTTTTATTTCTCTGTTCATCTTCTTAGACTCTGTAGGTCTCATAAGCTGATTCTTCCTCTGGGTTGTCACTTTTCCTGGCTCTTGCTCTGAGTGGTGAAATATCCTAATCATTTCTAGGGGAGCCCAAGGCACCTCTTTCTTCTGGTCTACTTGTTCCTCCTCTCCACAATCCCTTCTTGTACCCAAACAAAGCTCTTCTGTGCCAGGGGAGGTAGCTTTACCATAACCACATACATAGCAGAGGGGGTTTCCACCTGGCCAAATGCTCAGTGATCTATGGAAACACCTTCCTCTCTTCCATGCTTAGAACAACCCGCTGAAACAGACAAGTCACCTGGCTACCTGAAATCAGCCCGTCTGCTTTCACAGGTGTTTACTTCAGCATCCCTACAGAGCTGCAGAATCTAAGTTACTGGGTGGTCCTGAATGAACAAAACACAATCATCACGGAAACATAAACACAAACATATTCAATGGAGCACTATTTGTAATACATCCAACCTGGAAAACTACCTACATATCCAGCAACTACAAAAGAGGTAGATAGCTGAATACCACAATAGCAAGGAAAATGAAAAATATAAATCATATGTAATATCACAGATGAACTCCATAAACATAATAAGGAAATTAAGCCAGACACAAGAAAATATATACTGTATGATTCTATTTACATAAACTTTAGAAATAGGCAAACTAATTGATCAATGGCATTAGGAGGCAGGAAGTATGTTACTCCTGGGAGCATTAGGAGAGAGGGTTCCGGGTTGCTGGTAGCTTTCTTTTAATCCAGGTGCTGTTACACAGATGTGTCCACTTTGTCACAATTATTCTATCTAGCCATATACTTATTCTTTTTTCCTTTATTGATTTTAGAGAGAGAGGAAGTGAAAGGGAGAGAGAGAGAGAGAAGCATCGACGAGAGAGAACATCGACTGGCCGCCTCCTGCACGCCCCCTACTGGGGATCGGGCCCACAATCTGGGCATGTGTCCTGACTGGGAATCAAACCAGCGACCTCTTGGTGCATGGGTGGATGCTCAACCACTGAGCTATGCAGGCCAGACAAGTCATATACATGATTTGTGCTTTTTCGTCTATGTATAAGATACTTTGATAAAGAGCTGACTGAAACAGATCCTGGAGAATATCTGGTCTGCTCTCCTTGGTTCATAAGAGTAATTATTTCCCATGCAGGTTAAATGTCTCAATGGCAAAGGACATCCAAGAGAAAGCTGGGACTAAACATTAGATCTCTTAACTCCCCATTCAGGTACCCAAGCTACCTCTCAAACATGGGAGGATGTTTCTCCAACTTCATTCCTTGTTGTGACTACAGCCAAGGTTTAGAAGAATTAGGATCACATTCTTACTAAGAACAGAACCCCCAGAAGTTCCCAGTTTCCTACCAACAGATGCACCAGAAAAAGCTTTAAACACTATTTAGGATGTAAATCAGAAAATCAGACAGCACTGTGCTCACACCCTAGGTCACACTTACTAGTGTGTGACCATCAGCAAGCTCCTTACCGCTCTCGGACTCTCAGTATCCCCATCTAGATCCCTAAAATATTACCTCCTACTTTGCAAGATTGGCAGGAGGGAAATATAGGATAATACATCGCCTCATATTAGCAGTACCTGGCATGTGGCAAGCACTCAGTAAAAGTAGTCGTTGAATGAACATGGAATTGAATTAGTCAAGTGCTTGTCACTCAGAATAGGCTCAATAAACAATTAAATATTATTATTATTACTGAGCAAGAGAAACTGGGAGGAAAGGAGTAAATAAGTTTATATGAAAATGCCTCATTTTTCTAAGCCTATACTCTAAGGTCTCACTGGCTTACATGGGGGACTGAAATGGTCCGAGATAAAGAGCAATAAAGGATTTGAAGAGAAAGCAGTGTTTTTTATGTGTGACTAGGTCTGTGTTTTCCTGCTCAGTGCCAAAAATAATTTCCTCATTGACTGTCACAACATGCCTAAATTCCACAGCCATCTATGTTAGTCATAGTACTTTTAGAATTAAAAAAAATTTAAAGGGGTGGGTCATAAATTCTCATAGACATAATGAGTAGACTGACATACTCAAGTAACTTTACTACTGGGAAAAAGTGTACACCCAAGTATACAAAAAGGTAATTGCAGGCTTTAGAGATGTCAGAAATGAACAATGGTGAGGAGCAAGTTTACTTACATTAAAAAGGTTTACTACTGAATGTCTTCTTCAGCTCTTCAAATCTTGCATGTACTTATTAGCAAACTGATCCATAAAGTTCTTTAATACTGAAAAGAAACAAATATAGTGAAGATCAATTAAAATGTATTTCAAATTATAGCACACCAGAAAAAATAAAACCCATAGATAGTAAGTTGTTGTATAAGCAAAGAACATCAAACTAGATAACACATGTGTAATTAAATTAAGAAAAGGTGTTAAGGACTAAGAGAGTTAACTGATTAAACCTTCCGTTTATCCTTCTGTCAGGTCCTCCTCCCCACCCCCTCCTCTTCCTTCCTTCTCCCCAGCCAGCACCCCTCCTTCTCATTCTTGCTTACTTCCTCAGTTACTACACAGCCTCAAAAATTCCTTCATGCTTGAGTTCTGCTGAAACCACCATCATTAAATTGTATAGCCCAAAGTACCTAAAACGTTAGGTACTCTGAATATTTGTTGAGCAAATGAATAAACCATAGTTTTACAGTATTTAGTTGTTAAGATTTTAGAAGTTAAGAAATTTATTATTTTCTTGTCCAACAAGAACAATGTGTAGCCAATATGTAGAAACACATACACTGAGTTTTAGACGTGTGTTTCCGACTGATTCCCTTATCTCTTTTAAATAATACATACTTGGGAAACATTTCCATTAGAATATATATGGACACGTCGAGCTCCACCATGACAGCGATAAAACCTGTTTTGGTAGTAAAGGGATATTTAGGTAGTGAGTTCCTTTTGAGATGCTCACTCTTCAGATACCTCAGAACTACCTACTACTTCCGTGAAGACTGAACTGACAAAGCAAAGCACCTCCAAGTTAAATCCTAGAAATACTACCCCATGTGCTTTCCAGCTGGCTCTATGGTGGGGACCAGTCCCAGACAAAACTGAAGCAGGAGGGAAGCAGCTCCTTCTCCTACCTGCGCCTTTGCGGAGTCAGTGACTCCAGATGTTTAATTACATAGGGACAAAATAGGATCGGCTCCAAAGTTCCAACAACCTGATGGATATCCTTCCCCAGGACATTTTCATTAAAAAAAAAAAGGAAGCTTCAGAAAGCAGGTGCTTAACACCAAAAGAAAATGCACCACTGACAATGGGACTTCAGGCACGAATGGGGGATGCTGTCTGGTTCGCATCTGTCCAGTCGGCCTCTCCTAAAGCCGGCTTCATACGTGACCCATACACAGGGGTGGGCCAAAGTAGGTTTACAGTTGTAATACAAATAAATAATACAAGAATAAACTGTTTCACATACTCACAGCCTGGGTAAATTTTAAGCAATTAATGACGCATACACAGGCAAGCCCAGTTTGAAGACTAGTGTGTGCTCCAAAAGTAAAGTTACATTAATCAGCAGTTCTCCAAGTGAGTGTCTAGGAACGCTCTCCCTTGGGTGCATCTGAGAACGGAGGAAGGAGTGAGTGGATGTGTAGTAATAGGAAGAGCAATTTCACCTTTATCTCTTGCATCATTTGATCCAAAACTCACTTGGAGATTCCTTGAGCTACTTATAAAAGGGTTAAAATTAAATGATGATTAAAGCTAGTGCAGAAAAATCCCCATGAGCTCATAAAATAACATAGCTGATCTAGAACAGCAATCACACCAAAATCCAACCGCCATCCCTCACAGACTCTATGGGAAAATGTGGGTTCTAGGGTGGGTCCCAGAACACAGGTCAGCCTGGGCCCAAGCAGGCAGGAGCCAGGCCTTTGCTCCCTTCCGACCCAGTGACCCAGTCCCTTTGTCTCCTGCCCGGGAACAAACAGTGGGAGGTAGGACACCTCCATGAGGACTGAACCAACAGAGGGGACGAGAACAGGGGACAGAGCGTGGGTGTTCCAGAGCGGGAGACAGTGGCTGCGGCAGGGAGCAAGGCGCAGGGCGCTTCTGTGAGTCAGTCACTTCCCCAGACCCTGCCCCCATCCCCATCGGCCTCCTCGCTGGGTTTACATACTTCATGTATGTCCAGGCCTCTGAGGAATGAGGAGGAGAAAGGCAGTGGAACCATTTAAAGAGAAGAAAACAATATACTTATGTTCTATAAGACCCAATTCAAAACAACGCACAAAATTAGAAAACAGTGTTTTAAAGAGTATTCTAAGAAAGGACTGTCTGAGCTGCTCCAGAGGAATTCCGTGAACGAAGAGGCACTGAGTATATTCACCCGTCTCAGCACAGAGCTCTGATTATGTGACCTACCCAAGACTGAATACATAAAAACATTTATAAACATAAACCACTAGGTTTTTTGAGTTTCCATCGTGAGCCTTGCGTCAGTAAGTCAATGATGTCCTTTGTTATACAGTTTTGACCAAATGCAAGAGACTTTAGTCATTTCCTCAGAGACGTAAGCTATAAATACAACCCAACCAACATGGCCAGCCACTCACAAAAAGGCTCAATGACAAGTTTAATCTAAAAACAAGAACCCATTATTAAACTGAAAAATAAGCCATGAAAAAATCCAAACCTATGCAAACAACATTCTTAGCAGAAAAACCCTTAGTGTAATGACAAAGATAATTGCAAATAACTTTTTATTTGACTCCCAAACTTTTCCAATAAAGAATTTTCAAAAACAAAAAACAGTCTATATTTGTGTTCACTTCATAAAACAAACCCTTAACGTCCTGCCCAAACTTCAGATGGCAAATTCCAAGAAAATTCTCTAAACCATTAAATAAATGACTTTTGTATATCGCTTTGCGATGGGAAACACTTACTATTATTGCTTATTTTCTAAATCCCTTTGATTCTTTAAAAAAAAAAAAATTTAATCCTTACCTGAAGATATGTTTTTATTGGTTTTAGAGAGGGGGAAAGGAGATGGGGAGAGAGAGAAAGAGAAACATCGATTGGTTGCCTCCTGTACATGCCCTAACCGGGGATCACACTGCAATCTGGGAATGTGCCCTCACCAGGTATGCACCCACAGCCTTTTGGTACATGGGCCGACACTCCAACCTACTGACCCACACTGGCCAGGGCTCCCTTTGATATTTTTAGGCATGACTATCATAACTGAGAGTAACATGTTAGACATAATCATTAGGAAATAAAGTTACTGTTTATTATAATAATGTCACATTTTATAATTTAAAACTAAACCAAAACCCAAAGTCTCTATTCAGATATGACATAAGCATCTCAAGCAGGAGTCTGAATGCAGGGTAAGTATGGTCTGCCATCTATTTTTGTAAATAAAGTTTAATTGGAACATAGTCGTGCCCATTTGCTTACAAATTGTCTTTTGCAATGACCGGGTTGAGTAGGTGCAACAGAGACTGTAAGACTTGAAAAGTATGCCCGGCTGGTGTGGCTCAGTGGCTGAGTGTTGGCCCATGCACCAAGAGATTGCCAGTTCAATTCCCTGTCGGGGCACCACATGCCCAGGTTGTGGGCCCAATCCCCAGCAGGGAGCATGCAGGAGGCAGCCAATTAATGTTCGCTCTCATCAATGTTTCTATCTCTCTCTCCCCCTTTCTCTCTTTCTAAATTCAATAAAGAAAAAGTAAAATTAAAACATAAGATTTGCAAAGTATAAAATATCTGATCTGACCCTTTAAGAAAAAGTTTGCTGACCTCTGGTGTACTACCTCAGTGTACTAAATCTTGAAATAAGAAACAGTAATCCTAGTTTAGTCATCTTGCTGGATAACTACCTAAGTCATTTAACCTTTAGCAATTTTACTTTTCTCATTTACAATACAATAATAGGTAATATTTATTGGGAACATAATTATGTCCCAGGCACTAGTTGGTCTAAGGGTTTTACTTTTAGTGAGTTAACAATGAATTCATTCATTTAATTCTGGCTAAAACCCTATGAGGAAAGTTGATGATTATCCCCATCTTAGAGATAAGTAAACTGAGGCAGGGGGGTTAAATACTTTGCCTAAGGCCACACTGCCATTAAATGGAAAAATCAGGATCAGAACCCAGGCAATCTGGGTCCAGAGGTGGTATTATTCACCTCTGTGCTGGATTTATAATAATTTTAATTTAATAAAAATTACAGAAAATAAAAAGAAATCTTAAAAGGTCTCCTAGTGAACAGTGTCAGTTAAAGACAGTCAAGTACACGTCTGCATGGTTTAGGATAAGATAACTTAACATAAGACTATAAATGGACTTCCACAGACTTTTAAGACCCTTTTTATTTCTAAGATTAGAGCTAACCTTGGCATACTGGGAGCATAAAAGTCCACAATATTCTTTCTTTCTTTTACCAAAAGTAATAAAAAAAAAAACTTAACAGACCAACATCTGTCTTGCCCGTGGTGAGTAAGGCCTCTCTGGGAAGCCCAGCCCTTCACAAAGCCTTCAGGATACAGAGTTACCAGAGGGACCTTAAATCTTCCCCAGTTGTTCCCATCCAGTCATATCCTCTGCCTAGTTTCCATGTGGGAAAAGGCGAGCAAACACCAACTGAAGTTATGGAAATATTTTTAATAGCTTGGCAAGAAGAGTTCTTATCCAGATATCAACTGTCACACGGTTCAGGAAGATGTCCCTTTGCTGAATTATCCCCACTTCCTGAAGTTTTCCAGGATGTTTGGAGGAAACGTGTCACCTAAATGTGACCTGGTGCTCTTTTGTACTAAAAGATAGGTTTACATGATCCAGCCCTGGCCGGTTTGGTTCAGCGGTTGGAGCGTCGGCCTGCGGTCCTGAGAGACCCGGGTTCGGTTCCCACTAAGGGCGCGTGCCTCGGTTGCAGTTTGTCCCCGGCCCTGGTCGGCTGTGCGGGTGGCAGCTACTCGATGTGTCCCTTTCACATCGATGTTTCTCTCTCTCTCTGTTCCTCTCTCTCCCTCCCACTCTACCTGAACAAAAAATGGAAAAATGTCCTCGGGTGAGGATTAAAAAAAAAAAAGATAGGTTTACATGATCCAAATAAAATAAGGGGAGAATGTACTGCTAGACTGGTCATCACCAATTCACATTTAGACAGAGGCGGTCTTAACCATCTTTCTTAATCAGGCTAGTCTTTAACTGGTTTTCAGCAACTGCAGAGTCAAGTCCAAATCCTTGGGCTTGATGTTTAAGACCCTCC